CCTGATCTCTTATTGTATAGAATATTTTATTTGATTTTGTATATTATTTTGTCTCTGCTGCTACCTTTCAGTTATTTAAATGGCTGATCAATTTGTTATATTTATCTTTTCTTTGGAATTATGATCAGTTAGACATTATGTTCTATTCAGTTATTTAAGTTATTTATACCTTTGTTAATTTTGTTGGCACCTTTGTTGATTACATACAACTCTGAATTATGTTCAGATTATTCTGTGCTTTTTTTTAGGTCGACCTCTGACTTTCCTATTGATTTGAATTTACTCTATTGATTTGAAGTTACTTTATTATTTGTAATCATCATTATGTACAAAGTTTTGTTATCTATGTTTTATTTTATTGACCCCAGGAAGAATAGTGCTTTTAAGCACTAATGGGGATCGGAATAAACAAACAAACAAGCTTGTCGTATACGTCGCTAAGTACTGCCACAAATTCACAATACCAGAATTGTATTCCTGTCGTTTAGTAGCATTTTTATGTTGGCCGGATTTTATATTTATTCGCCCGCGCGCACTAGTATGGGGGACTTCAGAGGATGTCATCCATAAAAGTAAGCCGGTGTGGCCTTACTAAAACAACTGGACAGGATTTTGGAAACGGTCAAACGTTTCAGGTAACATCCGCTGGCTTAGTATAAAGAAAGGGTGAAGGTGGAGTATAAATATATGGACAACTCTCATTGTATCAAATCAGTCGAACAATACACTCTGTGCCTTCCATAAACTTTTCAAAACGTTCGTTCGACAAGGAACGGGGTAGCCTTCACAAATATATTTCGCATGAGAATAAAACAACACAGTGACTTTATCACCCTCACAGTCAGCCATTTTTTTCTCCCTGCAGCAAAGTTTTACCTTTATTTTCTGCAGTGTGATTTGTTCTCCTATCCTCCGGAGCTCGTGAGAAGTCGGGAAGGTGTAGCTGGGTAGACCTGGCGTGTCAGTTAGCGACATCTGTGCTAGTGGTCTGTGTGGGAAGGACAATGTTTTTTTTTAAATTATAATTCGTAATAATAAAGATTAAAAGGAAAAAAACAGTTTGCAGGGGGGGGGATAAGCCTAGTAGGCTTATATATGACAATTCATCTCCCACTGCCTCCTGAGAAGAAGTCAAACCCCCTAATAGCATGACAAGAATAGTTTAATAGAATAGAATAGATTAGAATAGCAGTTACTTTGTTCCTATTACCTGGTCACATATAAGCCCTTTCGCCATTAGCGGCGCGAAATGCATGATGGGTAATGTCCGCCATTTTTGGAGATAAACACGCCGCCACGCGAACATGTTATGTACGAAAGGTGTGTACACCTTGGGTGAGGTGTAAGCCGTTTTGGCGTTCAAACAGCGACGTTAGCTTCCGAACGGCTACGTTTGGATAGATCTAATTCTTAAGAATAAACGGAGTTTTTGAGTTGAAAGTATTTTAATAGTTCAGACGTGTTTTTTTTGTGTGTGCTTCGTGTGTGTGTACCGGCAATGCCTGTGTCCTGTGTGTGTTTTTGCTGGTCATAAGTGAAGATTTTCGTTGCGATTTCGTGCCGAAATGGAGGACGAGGCTGATGGTCCTTCCTTGGAAGAAATCGGGCATTGGAAAGTGCGGGCATTGAAGGTCTTTTTGCGAGAGAGAGGACTCAAAACAACGGGGAGCTGGAGAAAGGCCGAGCTGCGAGCTTCTTTGGCATACAGCGCCGTGCAGCTCGGTATACCCGTGAAGCAGGACGAGATCGCCGAGGACATTGCACGATCTACGCAGTACGCCGAACTGTTGAAGGTTAATGGCACAAAACTACCTGATCCCCTGCTGGACTTGACTGAAGGGTGGCTGAAGGAAAACGACGCCGTGTAACAAATTATGGCCTCCGGTCGGCTTCACGGACATCGCCAAGTGGCTGCTGTGCGAGGCCCCGTGCGTCAGCGAACCAAGAGACAGCAGCTGGAGGACGGATCGAAAGACAGCAGCACTGCACGATCGTCTCCTCAGCGACTACAATGAGGGGAAAGCCTACTCGTACTTCGAGAGCAAGTGGGTAAAAACAGAAGTCCACTACCAAACAAAAACCGAGACAGTTCTAGAGAGTTCGGGGTTCAGAGTTCAGGAGTCACTTGAGCGAGCGGCCACGTGGTTTGTGGGCCCACTGAAATCTTGTTGTTGTATCTAATCACTAAAAATTCCATGCGGAGGATGTGTGGACAGGGGCACTTGTTGCAGCTGAACAGTTCTTCAAGGAGTTTGTTGCCACTGAACTTGTACACAGGAAGATACAGAAGAACAATAACTCCAAAACCACAGAGTGAAGTTCTATCAGCCATATGGTCATTTTTATTCCAACCAAGGAGTTATCTCAATGTTCCAAAAAATCTTGTTTCACAATTTCATTGTTCAAAATTTGCTGTTCAAGTTTCATGCATTCTAGTGCGAAAATGCAGTAGATATAGTGTTGGATAGTTATACACATGTATATAGATTATAGGGTAAACTCATACATTATTATGTCCTTGGCATTTGTTTATGAAGTATTTCCCAGCAGTGAAAAACATTAACAAGTGAAAGATTTCATTTCAAAAGAAAATTGTATCATTTTCCTTCTATGTAGAAAGGCAATCCTTACAACAACAAGCACTCACTTCATGTATGATACAGTATATGCAATGTAATGATGACTTACATTGCATATAATGATTACTAAAAAAATGATGACTAAAAAAAGATGATGAATATGTAGGCTCAGATATGTAGACTATGATTAGTATGAATGACACTGTCAGGTTTACTTGATCAGGCCTGACTGCAGGTTAACTAATGCAGCACAGACCTTGACAATATCATCTGCTGCTGATATCAATGCTATGGGAAATGTACCCCCCAGGATTTTGAAGTCCTTAAGTCTATTGATTGCCCGTTCCACATGAATTCCCAAGTTAGCCACTTCCTTTGTTTTCCCTACTTTGTCCCTAGTCATCTGACGATTCCCCTGTGCAGCAGGTGGAACTTCCGAAGTAGCATGTCTAAGCAAAAGGTCTTCCTGTAGGTCATCTTCCTAGCATGTGGCTCTAGGTACTGATACATGTCATTAAATGCCTGTTTTGACCTTAATCCTATACAATGATTTACATCATTGTCAGTCTTCATACTGTCAGCAGTAAACATCTGTTTCTTTCCACATGATTTTTTTTCAGAGACCTTCTGTTGAGTTTTAAGCGAGATGACTTCCTGCTCTAGTTCTTCCACCCTATGTTCCAGTGTGTTTATCTGTATTTGCTTACTTATACTAGTTATACAGCCCTGACAGTCACATTCTTCTCTGCAGTCACATTTGTAAGTGTACCTGTGGTCATGCTCTGTCTTTTCCACCGGAGTCATTACAACATCATCTTCATCAATACTAGTACATGTACGTGGCTTCTTTTTCTTTTTTGGGGGTCAGGAACCGCAACACGTTTTGATGGAGGTGGTCGCTTTGGCGTTACCTTCTGGTCAGATGAAGGCCCTGTGTAGCCGAGATGTAGGACGGGGTCAGGATGTGCTGCTGTGGGTTTGCCATCTATAAAGTGTTGAGAACAAACCCTATCATGTGGCTTGTTAACCCAGTTTTTATTGCTAACCGAGTCTTTCTTGTTTATTAGTTTGTTCCACCGTCTTCTGGCATCGGGTCTTTTCTTCTCAGTAGGGAATGGGAATAGTTTGAACGTGGGGGGCAGTCGCAGCAGCCAAGTTTGGTACCATGTTTTTGGCATGTCCATTTGTTTAGATGGTATGTTGAATTGCTGCAATTCACTACTGCACACAGCTCATGATGGACAGTAACACTGTAAAAAGAAGAAGAGAGGAAAATTGAACAAAAAGTGATACTACATGGATTTAAGTTCAAAACATTTGTCTTGACTGCACTAGCATAATTTTTGCAATGCATAAAACCCTACCCCACCACCATGTATCCTAGTATTCCTACTACGAAAACCACACTAAATATTTACTAAAATTATTGGTGCACTCACTGCATGTGCTATTCATTCATGGTTATTATAATCGTTAATTCGTCGTGAGGATTGCGGTTAGAAAGCTTTATGTGCTTGCGGTGACACGAGCAAAGACGTGCCACGCATATCGGCCTGTTGTGCAGACAAAAGCCAATGCTATTTATCGAAATGTTTTACTGTCCAAAACATATGCCAGTAAAAGATTCCACACTATTTTACCCATATAACCACTCTAAAAATAAAATAGATGTTCCAAAACTCGTTTTAGCGAGATTGGTCAGGAAAATTGAGCAGAAAACATGAGGGGAGGGGGGCATGCAGGCGGTAGCGCTAGCTTGCATATCGTCAAAAAAACCTACCGTAAATCCCCTTGAAGAGAAAGATATCACGATATTTTTGGCAAACTAGGTCCAGAACATCGTTGGAACTCAGCCCAAGGCGGGTCACCACCGGTAACGCCGTGTGTAAGCTGGAAATTCAGACATGATGGTGCTTGGCACAAGGGCGTCTGCGGCTCTGTTTATCTCTCTGTTTATCTCCAATTTTTGGATCGAACGTCAAATTCGCGCAGGCGCACTAGTAATTGCGAAAGGGCTTATAGAAGGCAATAAGTTGGCTCCTTACAAAGCCGAGACCTTCAAAAAGTCGAGATAGGCTGCTTACAAGTCGTTGTAGTGATGAACAGTGCGCCGATCTGTCTGTAGATGTTAACTTTCAGTACAGAAGATTGACAGAGATTACTGGAATGAATAGCGATGATCTACCCTGCCATATAACATACAATACCCGGCTTTCATCAGGTTCTATACAGCTTGTACTCAGACTGTCTGGCAGCGCCCATAGGCAGCCAATTTTACCGGCGCTTGTTCTGAGGCATCAGAGCTGGCGATGAAAGAATTTTCCATTGATTCGTTTTAAATTGTGGAGATTTAGGATTTAGGATGCATCGAAACGAGAGGCGATGGATTGGGGTAGAAATAGGGCGATGCAGTAATCTCAATGGTGAGTTTGTGAAAGTAGACAGTGGAATGAATGAATGAATGAATGAATGAATGAATGAATGAATGAATGAATGAATGAATGAATGAATGAATGAATGAAACACATTTAGAGTACGTTTAAAGATACACCTTCTCCTGGGTAGAACAGGACTTTGTAATATCTATACAGATATCAAACTTGAGAACCAGGGTAAATACAGACTGTAATGTGTTACAAAAGTAGCGGTTCCTTTTTATCGTTATCTACATCAAGTACGAAAAGTATTCTGTTTTAACACATACAGACACCTAACCACCCAGATACACACACACCTAACTCAATTCTTGTACTCCAAGCAACCCAGCAAACACAAATAGAAACCTACAAATCAGCCGTGGTTCACATATGACACGTCTGTGACTAGGTACTACAGTGACTATTCATTAACACGGCTAGAACACCGTTCTAAACTCTCTTATCACGTCAGGCAGGTGTTTCTAGTCTTCAGCCTTGCTTTTGTTCATTGCCATATTTAGACAAAGTGACGTTGAGTATGATCTCCAACGGCTATTCCAGGTTTGTGTCCTTTAAAGCTGCATTATGTAACATTAGGACGGTACAAAAAAGGTAATTTTTCCGGCCATTCTTTACAAAGTAAGTTGAATCAAGTCAATGACCCCTACTTCATTGCACATAGGTGTCATTCAGGAAGTATTGTAAATATGATGGTTTACGGATGTGTTTAAAACCTGTCAGTCATGTTTGTTTACATTCTGGTAGTTTGTGGTGGTACCACAATCTGATTGCGCCTCGTGTGAGCTTTTTTAGCGCCAACTATAAATGTAAAAAAAGGTCAGATAATTCATTAAATGCACAAATATGTTGAAACGCGAAAGCAAATTACAATCTCACAAGATTTTTCAATATAAACGTTTCAGGTTTCATGCAAAAATGTTACATAATACGCCTTTATAAAGAACCTTGTACGAAACGGGTTTGTATAGGGCTCAGACAGAGATACCCTACAGGTGAAGTAGTCTGTATGCGACGTTGAAGTCTCTTCGGTCGCTATTATAGAACTTATATTGACATTGACTTTTACCGGTTAAAACTAGAACATCAAGTGATAATTGCCCCCGGATCGAATTTCATTAGTTCTTCCAACTTGGACGTGAGCTCTAACTAGGTATGGCGATAATTTGTTTTTATCTCTTGGCAAGTGCCGCGTAGGGAACAACATGAAGCGTGTATAGCCCGTTGCTTTGCCTCATGTCAGTATGTGGGCCGTGGGACCACGAGGAATCTTATACAATATACGACGTCGACAGCTAACAATGTTTAGTGGACAATTCTACGAGCATTGCTACACGTGGACAATACCTAACAATTTTCACTGTTCTGTCAGAGCTCTGTAGTTCTTCGTATACCGACACTTAGTGCCACACAGTTCACATATTCATACCTTTTGAGGGAACACAAACAGAAATAGACACTCATACCCCTAGCGTTAAGTATAAGAGAAGTATTATGACTACTAGGATTATGGTGATTCATTGAACTTGCCAAAAAGTGTTGTTGAAATCTGGGGAAAATCTATTAAAGGCTTTGGTCGATGATAAAGACTGATGGGTCCTTTTAGAGCGAAGACAAGAACGTACTCGAGGGGATGTCTGAAAAATAACAATCAATTCGTCAAGCTTTTTAGTAACATTGTAGACAAAGGACAAGGACAATATGACGTTACACTCAGGTTACTACCTATTTCATAACGCCACAAACACACAAAACAACAATATAAGAGTGATTAACAAGTGTACAGTGGGCCCTTCTCCCGTTACACAATGTTGTAATTGACTAGTTGACTAGTAACTAATTAGGGTATGTAAATCAGTGAGGTAGTGTTTAGTGTTAGTGGTAAGACTTGAAAATTACCTTCGTAATATATTTGATTTCCTTTCACAGAAAAGCACAGCTACGTGCGGTCCTCGTGTAAAAGCATCACCACTTCCGAATTCTGTAAAACTTTTCATTAGTTCACACCTTCCGTTTTCTGGAACTTTCCAGCCTACTTGACAGGAATTCATCATCACAAGGATTAAGGCTGATAAACTAACACAAAGTAAAACGGCCATCCTTAAACGTGAAGCATAATGCTTTTCAAGACGCTACGTACTCGACACGTCACTGTAGACTTGACTCGACCATTGTAAGTCGGTCGATTTTATCCATTTAGAGTCCCACACCCTGTCGGGGATTTCTATTGAGCCTGTCTATAGCTTGTCAGATACTCCTTAATGCACTGTCTAGAGGGTAATCCGCGGATAAGTCCGCCGGGATCCGCGGAGTAATTGCAGTGTGGAGCCTGTATGTCGGCTCTACAAATCAGCAAGGCGTCTCGGAACTGGCCAATCAGAGACGCTTTCATGCCACACCCCTTTAAGACTGCGTGGAACGCAACTGGTCGGCATACAACTACAACACAACAAGGTAGAAGTACATCACAACTGATCGGTCCACATCTGCACAACAACGTACAAGTACAGCACAACTGGTCGGCGTACAACAACTCAACAACGTCCTACAACACCACAACTGAGCGTACAACGTCCTATACGGAAAACGTGAGTACCTTTACAACTTAACAACGATCACAAAGGCATATCAGTTGTTTTAAAGTACAGGACGGTCGTGGCTACGATAACTTGACTTCGGTGCGTCTTGAGTTAAAATGTGGGTTGTTTGTACAACTTGTATGAATGTAGTTTGCAACATTCCTGGCAGAAAGCCGTACCTTCTTCCATTAAGGAAATTACTTTTACTCAGAATTCTTTAGAGGTTGATGATTATGACAAGACAAGATAGATAAAAGTTTCTCCCAGCCCAAAGGAATAAGTGCTATGCGGTGTTAGCAAATGCGGGCTTTAAACGACACTTGTAGTTAGATATGCGAATAGAAGGGTAGGTGTAACACGTCGTTCCATAACGTAGTGGCGTGGCGGCGAAACAATACAGATGCATGCGACATTAGTACATAGATTATTCTTTACAGCACAAATTACAAAAATATTCATTGCAAAATGTACATCGTTAAAAGTTGGAAAGATTGTGGAAAATAGTTTTCACTCCAAAGGCAAATGCCTGTTTCTGAATGAAAAAAAAAACAACAACAAAGAATTCTCTATAGCTAGGTAAAAGCCAACATCTATCAACAAGTTGCAGTATGGAAAGTTGACGATTTTCTCTTGGCACAATTCTCTAAACTGTACAGGTTTCAGAATCCAACTTCAGATACCGTAATTATAAGCGAAACAATCGACATTAGGTCGAGTAACAGCAGATACGATAAATGTGATGCACAAAAAATGATTGAAGATTTGACTGGAACCACGGCGTTAAATGCGACACAACTGATCCCGTGTTTACTGTAATGTGTTGTCGAACTATTTTAAGAGTCGTTAGTACATACAGCCTTTCAATTAGCACTGTATAAAGTAGGAGGATGATATAGGACGGGGATAAAAGGCTTAGTAGAAGTACACCATTACAGACAGCCATCGTAAAGTCTTAAAACGGCGCGTCCATCCTGACTGAAAGATTACGCGCGTAGGGCATTGTTTCAACTTTTGGCAATACACGAAATAGCTAAAACCCTATCTTTAAGCACACCATAAAGCAAGCTTTTAGGAACACGAGAGTGGATAAACGGAACTTTTACGCGTGATTTAAGGAGTACGTAAAGAATGGATTTTGTGCAGTGAATATTTCTTTGATCATGTCTTCACGAAAATGATCACTAAGTTTATAAAACTCTGTTACGAGCATTCTTGTTGGTTATCTGCTTATTTCAAACCAATTCAAACGGAGAATATCTCCGCTAAACGCCGGCACCATGAAAAACCAAATTGTGCTGTGAAAATACGACGCTGCGAAAGAACAAAACACCAACATTACAGAAAACGATGCCATCAAACAAAGCGGTGAAAAAGCTTGGATAAAAGCCCAGGGGAAATAAAGTGTAGTGATGGTATCTAACAAACGACTGGTTAGACTGTGGGTAGTATATTCACTCTACAATATATACTCTATTATTATATACTGTGCACATGCGGCAACTCTATAATGACCGAAAAAAGTGTCGCATGCCGCATCGGTATAAAACCCAATTAAACATGATTCAAAACATCAAAGTGTTTGTAATTTGTCATATCTCGCTAAGAAACAGATAAGATGGTGACGTCATGAAAGCCCATAAAGACGTCATGAAAGCCCATAAAGACGTCATGAAAGCCCATAAAGACATAAGCGGTCTTTCTACAAAACCAAGCGTTTCTGAAAAGATAAAAAAGTGAATGACCCCTTACGCACGTAGCACTTTTCAGTGTTTTTAAAAAAGATTTGTTCAAACCATATCATCATCGTAAAACTTTTCCAATTTACCAAAAATGATTAGTTATGCGTTATGATTGTCTAACTATATTCATAACGTCACTCTTTCTGGAAAGTACATTTTTGACATACGTGTATCTGGATTTTGAGTGAAGTTGACATATGGAAACGAAACCATCATATATTGAAACCATCATACAATGCATATTGCAATACATACATGGTTTATGCTAAGAATTAAAAGTAAGATGTTTTCAATCTCAAATTTGAGGGCGATTTAACACAGTAAATGCCCAAGAAAACATACAATCAACGACATCAACTACGATTGATGTATGCTATGTGATGTAACTTATGGCTTTAACGTTAAAGATTCACTGAATCATGTAAATCACTCACATGTTAGTCTTTCAGTTATAAAAGCGCCCCTAGCGGCCAAAGAAAAGTCTGCTTGTGGTAGAAGCTCCGAAACCCATTTACAAAGCTACAAGGCAGAAATGATAACGAATTTACTTTGATTCAAACGCTGTGGAATCGCACTCACCTATTACTAGTACTTTGCGCTCTCTCTAGTTGATACATTTACTTGAGCGTAACGCCAAGGCAGAGATCCACGTTCTGAAGTTCTGGAAATACAAATAGCCATGGGTCGTTTAGCATACCGAGAAAATACACTGATTTGGACTGAAGTTCTGCCTTCGGGGAAAATACATGGCAATTTGCATCCGAGAATAGTTCATTATTCTCTCACTTACCACACGCACATGTTTCTGAAGAGGAAGTAGTAGTCAATATCCCTTCGTCTGAACAATATGGTACGGCACTTCGGTGTCTGTAATATTGAAAAGAGTCTGTAGGTTGTGCTGTTTATACACGCGGCGAAAGAGATATGCAGACAGAATATAAATCATGGAAAAATCGTGATGGAAGGCAGGCATAGGAGCAGCATTGTCTTACCAGTGGTGATCGGTAGATGGCGCCACTTATACTACTTTTAAGCATCTTATTTCTTTGATGTTATTGCAGTGTTATCGACGGCTATCTACTGTTGATTTCAACGGTACCACAGTGCGTTATAAACAAGTAATCTAAGTTCTTTATCATCGCGATCAGAATGGTGCCAACAGCCAAACCAATTTTCTCTGATTACACGAGAGCTACCAAACCCTTTGGCGAGGTAATAGACCACTTTGGGCACCTCAATTTTCTCTTGTCGAGGGCAGTTAATAGCTGGAGATCATATCTCACATATTACATCATTACCACCTTGGACACTTATGCAAATAAGCGCTCTGACGTCAGTTAGACTGGATAATGAACGTTGGTATCATGACCCTACCGTTATACAACATAGACGTTCCGTATATACGATGTAGCGTGGTTTTACTTCATTACATCCCCCTAAGTCGTGACAAGGACCACAGCGTACATTTTGCATGATGGACTACATGTGACATAGTAATGTCACGGCAAAGTAGCCATTAAAGTCTTGATTACACTATTCTTCAAATATTACATTACTGGGTAACACTGGAAACAATTAAGATCCATCTTAACTGAGGTCCAACGGCTTTATAGCGCATGTGATGATGGAATACTGCTCTTTTTCAGCTATCTCTGTGCTGAACTTTTGAATCTATATTTGGTTAAGAGTGCGTTTGTCAGTTAAAGGAATGCATGCAGCGGGTGTACAGAAAATGCGAAAACACACGGAAACAGGCAGAAACAAGCGTTTTCGGCATGCAGTTATCTTTCTTGATTTTCGTTTTAATTCGACGACTATGTGAATACCATTTAAATCTGTTGGACAGAGAAGTTCCTCTTAAGTTAGACATGTCCCTGTTATTAGGGGGATTCGTGAATCTGTTTTTTTTCTGTTCCCACAGTTCGATGGCTGTCAGACAGTTTGCTGTCGCCGTGCTGGTCCTGACGATGCTGTTTCGCTGTCGCGCGCAGAGGCCGGCGTGCTGTGAGTCCGGGTCGTGCATCTGTCCCTACGTCAGCCGCCTGCATAACCCGGGGAACCACGGCTACGGCATCCTCACGACGGGCAAGCGGCAGTGGAGACAGCACGGGCCGGCCACGCTGTCACCCAACCAACTTCTCACGACGTCTCAAGCAGCGCCACCTGGCGGAGAGGGCGCGACGACATCCAGTCATGATACAGACAGGTGAAAACAGCCATGTTTACACTTCATCCTTTAACACGAATTATCATATAGCCAGAAGACGTCGACCAATCAGAAGGCTTCATTCCCAGGTCATAGCCTCGAAAGTGGTCGGTTATTAGAATAAGCGACCACTTTTTGGAACCACCGCTCACTTGGTGGTTTATTCAATGGTTATCGCACCTGGCCAGGGATTATCTCGCCATATACACCTCGGGGGGGGGGGGGGCATTAACCCTTTAATATATCACCTGTACACTTCACAATCACTTATATACAGCTAAAGAACACTGTCTGAATACATCGACTCAACACTAGCGAGGAAGAAATGCACTTTACAACATACTACCTCATGATTTACCCGACAGATTGTCATTTTCATCAATGGCTGTCCATGAGCTTGTACTACTGAAATATACTTTGGTGTGTAGAGAAAATCGTGCGGATTTTGAATGTGAATCCATACGTCCTCCTTCACTCAAAGGCTTTTTATCTACTAGTAGTTGGTTTAGAGAAGGAGCCACAAAGTCTGCAACTTAAAGAGTGTATAATGGTGACAACACTCGCACCTGCCTACACACTATGAACAGGGAGGGGCCGTTACTCTTAATTCAATAAGACTGTCAGGTCTTCCGGCAAAGACGTGTCAACACAGGAGCTGCAGACGGAAAGGTAAGATTAGTGGCAGACGGGAGCCTCACAGGGCTAAGCTTTAGGTAAGCACAGCAAGCGATCTTCTGTTGGAATGAGATCTGTGCAACAGGCACTATACACTGCAAACCGATGAGGGGACGGCTTCCATTTCTCTGTTATAGAGCACTGAATCGTTCTTCAGTCGTAGTACATGTATATAGAGTGGATCCATTCCTCAAGCAAACCGTCATCTAGCACATGTGCACAGTGGCCGGTAGACATCTAGCACAGTGACATCTAGCAGTGACAGGCTGAATAAAAGTTCTAAATGGAAACTATGCGGCTCCAGATGTCTTACTGAGGGGTGACTGTGGTGTGATAGATGTCGGTTAGATTGAGGAATAAATCCACTATATATGCTTTAAATGTAGGTTAGAAAGCCGAGTTCCACCCCACACTACCCGCTCTATACGTAAAGTCTGGTTCTCTAGCCTCTAGGTATGAACAGGCGTCCACAAGTCGTGCAAATGCTCGCTGAAAACCATATTTGTAATTACGTGCCAGACACGATAATGACCCGGTGTTACCTGTGAGATGCCGACTGACGGATGGTCGCTGCTACTTCGGTTAATCTTGAGAATTTCTCAAGATCCCGTAGGGTGTGTTGTTTTACAGGACAACAAATAACTTTCACAGCAAAGCCAGTGTTAAAGGTATAAAAATAACTTGTTATGTTCTGATGTCCTCAGCTTATAATCTCTTGAATAACTCTTTCTAAACAAGATCCCGTAGGGCATGTTGTTATACAGGAGGACAAATTACGATAAACGCGAAACGCGTAAAAAGTTTTTACTGTAGGAAAAAACTATCAAAATAGATGCAGCGATGTTGTCAGCTAATAACTTTGAATAACTCTTTCTAAATATGATCCCGTAGGGCATGTTGGTAGGAAGACAAATAACTATCACAGCAAAACCAGCTTCAACCTGTAGAAAAATAAATAGCTATTAAAATAGATGCGGCGATGTCGTCAACTAATCTTTGAATAACTTTCCAGATATAAGATATAAGCCTCTACGTGAGATAAGACGTCAGCATGTAACTGGGTACATCAATACTTTAGCAGACACTTCAAGTCTTAATTGTTTCACAGTATCCTGTGTCATTGGTTGCCAATGTCATGTGCCAGAAGTCGGTATGTTTCCCCATGTCGGGGTGCCACTTGTCTTGTTACTAACTAGACAAGGTGATGTGCAACAAGTTATACCATCACCTAATCGTTTACAGAGGTTCACAATGAGTATGTTTTCTTCTGATTCGGAGATAATCCCTTCATCAGAATCCGTGTCTTATCATCATGTGATTTTTCACAGAGGTTTAAAATGAGTAATGTTTAATGCATTGCAAAAAATATATTAGTACGTTTTTTTCTGATTCAGAGACGATCCCGTCATCAGTGTCCGTGTGAAACTGCACCGCCTGGCCGAACGACTCCATAAGCTCAGAGGTAAGTACACAGCCGTATATTGTCCCAGCGATTTCAAGAAGTTTGATTCCATTTCGACTCTGTTAACGAGTGATATGCAATCAGAGCTCTTTGTGTGAGTCTACAATCACTGCAATTGTGATGTTTATTTGCCCGTGAAAGTTATGGTGATATCTACCCACTTAGAATGGTCCATGTTTTATTGCAGCTTGTTAACAACATGAGAAAGATCACAAAGCTTCCTTGACTTTGCCTTTTATAGCGCCCATTACATATGGAGTGAGAATTTTCAATGGACCTTGGCATACAAGAAGTACGTGAGCACACATGCACTGTTAAAACTACCCTCGAACTAGATACTTTGACAATTAAACATGTCAAAAGCAACTAAAACAGGGACCATTTTTTGAACAGCGAACGACTTTATTGCCACCCAGTGACTTCCGGGAGAGTTTTACGCTAACTGCAGCAGTAGAGCACTAGAGGGTTATTTTATGATTGAGAATCGCAAAGTAGTCCTTGATACCTCTCTTAGGCAAAAACTGATAAAATTGCTCCAGAAGGGTAAAATTTGCAATAACAGCCGACACCTCGGGAAAACAATTAGTAATCCAACAGGATAGATTACACAGCTTACTCGAACAAAATCATCTTGATCCTGTTTCTTGGAGTGAGACAAACGTTAAGCCATCCCTTTAGGCGAGATGATCCTGAAACAATTAGACTGTAAGACACGCCAGCGGCAGGTAATTTGTGTGAATCATAAACACTTGACGGAGAGATAAACCCGTCATTATGGTGGCAGGTGTTAATACATAGCTTAAGTTTTACTCCATTCATAAACAAGCAGAGCTGCGGAAGATTAGAAACCGTCTGCGCCCCTGATGCCGACATCATGACGGTGGGGGCGGTGAAAGAAGACTTACACTTAGCTTCAGACCGAATTATCATGTAGTACTCCACTTTGCACAACATGCTTTTTAAAGGTACATATCAAGGCACAGGAGGTCTTTGCTTCGAATACTGTAAGCCCAAAGTTTCGTTAGGGAAAATTAGGTTTCAAAAAGAAATTGACTCACCGAAATTTTCGACCGAATCTCTCGGTCTTCATTCGGTACTAGTATCTGACCGCACGTGTGACGTCAGCACAGGGTCAAAGTTAGTCGGAAGTCGGTAACGGCCCCCGCCCCGGTTAATGTCCAAAGTTTGAAGGTATTCCCTGGTAGCAATCCAAACCAGATTGTAATGTTAACGTTGACCAAAGTGTGCGACATTGTTCAATACCTTTGTCCTATGTATGACGCTGATGATGTCACAGGAAGGAATATGTTACCTTCACACACACCCCCCCCCAGCAGGCAGACTCAGCATTAAGTAAGACATGGGGGATGCCTCCTCACACTTATCCCTTAATCATACCATTCATCAACCCTGCCGAGCTGAGTCTCTCCGTGATCGGGAGATCTCCATCTCCGCGCAAACAAACAGACTTCATGGCACCCACTGAAGGCCGCTCCCGTCTGGATAGGTCACTGAGAGGCAGAAATGCCAGGAGACACGAGACTCTAGCGTTAAGGGGAGCCAATATCGTTCAAAGATGTGTATCCAAATTATTTCCAGCGATCACGGGGGTGGATTTAGAAAATGTGCTACCACGTCGTGTGGTAGCACCGGCCTCCGGCAGCGTTTTGAGTCTAAGTGTGCGAACAGCGAGTACCGCTTACGCGATATGAAATGTATTGCAAAGTAATAAAGCAAGTAGGGAAACGTGTGAATGATGCACTAGCCAGTGCTGCTTCGGCGATTTCAAGTGCCCAAAGGTTTATCTTATCTAGTAACATATGTCTTTCTGACTTCACAGAGAAGTCGCTGACGAAAGCCTCACGCCTGTGGTCCAGCTCCGGCCCGATGAAACCGCCGCCGGCGTCCGTACAGCAGCGCGCTATGGACCGGCGGTAGAGACCGGGCAGACAGGACTGCAAGCAAGCAAGCAAGCAGGAACAAGATTTGTGCAGCAAGAAAGCAAGCGAGCAAGCAAGAACAAAATTTGAAAATAACGGCTTTATGATATCGTTACGACGAGGGTGATTCTGAGAACACACGATGAAATGAAAAAACAAAAACGAGTATGTAAGGATAAAACGTAATGTATTTCACTACTTCTCAAGTATTTACTGTGGAGGAACTGGTTCTCTCTGTACAGTTCCACACTTCTATACTGTACCGACTGTGACACAACTTTACAAACGTACGATTAAAGACAAAGTAAAAGCAAGTAATTTTTTGGTAAAATTTTCCAGTCATCGATAGTACTAGTATATTATCATTTGATTATTTAGCCCATCTTCAGCACGTTACCAGATAGATACCATCTGTAGGGTCTTGTTATCTTTGACAAGAAATGAAGTTTCCTGATGGAACTTGGAATTTGTGTCTGTTAATGTTTACTACTATTACATACACCACATGTGCATGTCACTGGCTTGACTGCATATCCCCTCCCTGAAGTCGTTAAAATGGTAGATTAGATGAGGATACAGCCACACATTCTATTCACCAGAGGTTTCCACACTCTAAGACCGCAGAGACACAACGTGAACTTGAAGAACATCAAAACGCACACAAGTACGCACTTAAGCCGGGAACACTTAAGCCTAAGACCAAAGTCTACCTTGTGGGCGTCTCACAGACAGTAGCTCGTAAAGGTTCAGGGAAAACCTTCCACCCAGGTCTTTAAGTCTCTACTTTTGAAGAAAGACATTGCCACGTCTCTTACCGGTACTTTAGTAGAACAGGCTTTTAAAGTCTGTTTGACAGAAGGAAACTGCAGCCAGATGAATAAGAAGATTTTAGACAAACGTCAGCAGTCAATTTTTGAAAGTCCGAATTGTGGATAAATAAACAAAACTTGCCTAATATCATGGAATAATTGTGCATGTACACGTGTATACATGAGAACTTGATAGAAAATAAGATGACGAGCCTTGTCAGGCATTCGTGGGTTAAATAGCTTTATTACGTCACGTATAAGGTGTACAGATGACAGTGTTAAGGGTATAGAATTTTCTTCTTACACAACCAGTAAGGTGAGAACCTTACTGGTTGTGTAAGAAGAAAATTCTAAGAAGAACCTTGAAAGGGGGGAGATGACAGTGTTGTTTTCTCTCCCAAATCTAGTTCAAGGCATAACAGCGCTCTAGATCTGCCATAACCTGTTGTTTACTTGGGGTTTAGGGCCGGAAGTATGACAAAATATTACATCTTACACTTAATCGTTACCGCAACCGTTACAATCAATCGAGTTAACTGACACGATCCTACATTAAGCTATTGTAACATCGTATTACTGCTGCAGTGCAATAGTCTAGAGCTTTGGTAAGCAAACCCTGCTAACATATACCATAATCCATATTTACTACGACATTGTTAGTTTTCATATCTTTCTGATGTAACAATATTGTAGATTCCAACAAAAGGTAAATTGCCAGTATCAGATTTGACCTTAGATCAAAAGAAGAAAAGTTCACAGTGAGGTTTCATGGGATATTCCAGTTTTGCTTGTACCCATGCTTGCTTAAGCTTACAAAGTGCTTTGTTGACTCCTTACCATACATGTTATTTACTTGTGTTCCGTACAACATAGGGGTGAACCGACCAACTACACACACGACAAGGGAATCCTGCATAATATTTGGGAATCGGAATGCTTTGACACTATCATGCCCTTAAGACATATCCCAAAGTCTTAACTTGTATCTGATGTCCTCTGAAGATGAGCTGCCGTAGGTGCTGTGCTATCTTCTGCCACGATGACGTAGGTCACAAATCCACCTTAATCTCACAGAGCGTAACACTGGACAAAGGTTAAAACATCAGGCAGTTTTACCTCGGGTAGGGTCGCTAGAAATAGATGGTCTGCCTTTCGCTAAGGCTGGGGGATGTTTGTTACATCTAGGGAGAATCCTTTAATGGCATTTCGTAATAACTGAGTTTCTTTTGTGTTCTAACATTGATGGGGGGGGGGCGTATAGAGATCAAGCCTGGTTTGCTTTGGGGAATGTTTTTGCTTGTTTGCTTGTTTTACATATTCCAACATTGATATCACCGGTTTTGGAGCCTTCTGGAAGATTTATTTTATACTTCTTGATTAATATTCCTTAATATTCTTATCTATGACATGTAAATGTAACACCGGCCCCGTGGCGAAATCGCAAAGACACAAAAGGTTTTTGTCTTTGATCGTGCTATCCAGAAGTAAAGGAAAAGTGATGATGTTTCCGTGATACTTGTTTTGTTACTGCATCACTGACTCTAATGCGGCCGACTCACTTGACGCTTACAGTGAAACTTGCGGAACAAGGACTGCAACAGTGAGATTATCTAGTGTCTTATACAGCTTTTTGTTTGCTTTGGATGAATATACTATTCCATCAACCCCAGGGACACTACTATCTACGTTGTACTTTAGAACAGGTATGCACAGTCAAAAGGACATCATTCCACTGAGAACAAAGGTACAGAATCTTAAAATTTCCTTACTTATTATAGATTAGTAAAGAAGTGAATAATCAGAGCCTCCCTGGAATAAAGAAAAGAAAAAGTGCAAAGTCTAAGAAATGGTGGGAATCTTTGAATCCATTGCGCGGGTCTTTTATGCTAATAAAACACTTTTTTGTGTTATTTAAATCTAAAGGGGCAATGAATCCTCTTTTATCGTGAAAAAGCCATCGCGTCTGTTGGTAAGTACTAGTAGATAAAGGTCCTGTAAGAACAGGGCAAGACTACAACTAGTACAAGGGGCAGTCAAAACACAGAAATCCTTCTGAATAAATATTTTTGGCAATTCTCTTGAGTAATTTGAAAGAACACGAGGGTAACAGTTTGAATCACCTTACATGTACTCCCGTATTGCTGGCGCGGCCTCTGCTGAGGGAGCCATCGTGTAAGCTTGTACTGGAAAAACTGAACGACCTGGGAGGCCAACCTACTCATCGGTAGGCTACAATGAAGAAAAACAAGAGAACCAGATTCCCACCTAGTTTGATCGATTGAACGTTACTTTATTGCCCTAAACACTGGTTCTATGGAAGGAGACAATTACTGAACCATGTCTATAGATACATATGTGTTCAATAATGTGGCCTATGTTTGGGTACAGGTTTCCCTTCTTATGATGACTTAGGTTGTTTGCCTTGGCCGAGGTCCTTATGCAGGGAGAGGAGGGGCGGTTATGCCTGTTAACGGCGCATTGATATCTGCCAATGTCTCGGAGAAGTTTCGTATGGCTGCACGTCGGTCAGTCGTCTTCTAGATCTGGCGTCGGCCTCAGCTGTGGAAAGAGAACACACGATAGCTTCAGTATCAGATGACTGCGACTACGACAGTTACTTGTCATTTTCATTTTTTTGTTGTTACTTGTCATTTTCATTCCTAAGTTGTACCTAACTTGAGTTCGCAGCCACTTAGTCCTTGTCCTTTCAATTATCACTGCATTTCTTAATAAGGAGAAAAAACTAAGGACAGACCCCGGCCCTCACCTGTCAGATTCAGCAGGCGGCGGAGGTGGTGCAGGAGGTCCCACACCTTGGAATGTTCGAGATGGTTCATCCGCTCACTGAGAAATAGACAGAAACGGCCCGTTAGTATGAAAGATCAAGAGAGATTACGCAAATCACATTAAATAGAGTTACACCCCAAAAGAACCCACCACACCTTTCAAAAAGGAGTAGAGGAAACTTCTGCAATCTGAGTTGGTGATTCACTACAAATCACCCAAACAGAGGACTAGCGAACCCCTGTCTCGAAATTAGCTTCAATTGGCCCTCAATAATAGTCCTGTGCTAGTTGGGCAGCCTTGAAGTATCGTCCTGTATCGTCAGCCAAAGCGAAATTTCTGTGAAACTATTTTGTCAATCGAGTCAATCATCTAGATCTTATCAAAGGTCCTTGTAGAAATATTGTTCCTATCTCGCTAATCAGTCAGCAAAACTGACACATGGTTCTTGTCAGCCTAATGACTTATGCCATGCGGTCCTTGTCTTGAGTATCATCATATAATACGTCAGTTCGTCATTTAAACAACATCAAAGACTGTGGCAGACGTCATTCGGAAGACAAGGTTACGATGAATGGTCGACCCTTCAGTAATCAACGCCCGCCTTCGTGACGACCTTAAGCGATAGAACCCTTAACCGACGCGAACTCGTGCCTCAGACGGCTTTGTTGTCACCCCTGATCTGATCGTGCGGATGTGACATTTGTCAGGAAGCCCGTCCCGTTCCCGGGTGATCTTAGCTCGGCTCCTCACATGAATCAACTTGTCATCAGCTATATTACCGCCACGGGCGGAGGGCAGCACCTTACAGGCCTCCTGTTCAACACCGTGCAAATACATTCTGATTGCTTTCTCCGCGTGGAATTTCAAATTTCAACTGTTGTTGTGTGGTGCACGTATAGTACAGTATAGTCCAATTGACCAGAGGCATTGCTGCAAGCCTACTCTCTATCATTAGAGATATGCTCAGATAAGCAGTGTTTGATTTGAAGATGTTGAAAGATACAGTCATGTTTTATTATGTACAGTAGATGAGGCTACTGATATGTTATGAAAACATAACTCTGTTCTTAGTCACTCCCTGCGGCAGACTGACCACAGTAATATTATATCATTACACAACAGGATTGGATCTCTTCTCCAAAGAAGAGACTTAGATGCAAATGAGAGAGAGGTGTCAGAAAAGAGCCGGTAAACATACTGAGACGAAAATTGCCTAAGGTCTGTACATTTTGGGTAATAGTTGCATCTTTATGATCATTGAGGGTAAGTTGGGTTTTAAATTTTAAATATTTTGACTGACATTGACCCCTTTTCTGCTCAAACAAACAAACAAACAAACAAACAACCAAACAAACAAACAAATAAACGAATACAAATCATTATCCTTGACTGCTTGATGACTTCTTCTTGTATACTCTCTAAAAACCCCTACCGGGGTATCACTGAGAGACTAATGCCTTACATATCATTGATGAAGATGGAGATGCAATATGATCTCTGTACAATAGGAAACAAATGCGTCAAGAGATCCCTTGCTGATCTAAGGTCTCTTGTTTGATCTAAAACCCCTTGTTGACCTAACACGAAGAGAACTAACCTATAGCCGTGGTCTAACGTCCGTTCCGGTAAGCCGTCCCCATGTGGCCGGTGCAGATCTACCTGGGGCGGGTGGAGGTCCACCAGAGTGGCGGGGAGTCCTCCATGGGTGGGGTCGTGTTCCCCCCGGGAGGAGGGGGACTTGTACTCCGCCTCGCCTCTTTGCCTCTTGCCGACGGTGAGGATGCCGTGTCCATGGTTACGGGGACCGAAGAGACGTCTGAAGTACGGACAGTTGCACTTCCTACTCCAGCAGCATCTCGGGAAGGCCCATGATCCTTTGCACAGCAGGCCAACGAACAGCACCGCCAGGAGTACATGCATGCAACGCATCTGTCTGTGGACGGAGACGGGGGGAGGGGTTAGAGAAGGAACTAGAAAGGTAACATTTTTAAAGCAAATCCATAATGTTTACCTTCGCATATGGTCTGCACTGTTACTTAAACACATTCATATACATGGTGACAGGAGCCTAAATCCCTCCTATAAAATTTGCAACATGATGTAACCCAACACTAGTTACCATGGTGACAGACGTCGGGTTTAGGTCATCTAGGTAATGTCTGGAGCTTTCACAACTATCATTTCTATCTATGTAGTTATCTCAAAAGACAAGTGGGCAGTGCCTTTGAGTTCCTAAGTCAAAGGCACTGTTCACTTAGAACAAAATCAAGGGCAGCGGTAAATCACAAACGCATAGACAGGGTCCATCACAGATACATAGAAATAGAAGACCTCTAAACATCACAGGACACTAGTTAACCAGATCAAACATATCATGGCCAGATGCCAGTTTATCTTAGATATCAGCCACTCATTGCACATACATGTACTGTTGTAAATCAGCAAGAAATGACATTTGGAGTGACTTTAAGTGGTTATTGTAAATAAAGAAAGTTGTAAATGCTCAATGCAAATCGCCTGGATTTAGAAAATATTGGCGATTTCAACATTACCATTTCTATATGGTATAACAGGATGACTACTTCTGAACATCCGTTGATTTAGTATACACTCATGGCCAGGAACATTTTTTTGTCCAAATTGGTCTTACCGTCATATAAATGATGTTACAAATCTACAAGGCAGATACTAGAGAAGTAATAAGTACCAGTTAATAATACTGTACAGTGCTCAGCGGCGCAGCAAGGGAACATGGAATATAAACGTACAGCATACCAAGTCCAACACACCAGTGGAAAATATCCTATCGGACTTTGTAAGTCAACTAGTAACCCCTTCACGTAATTTCTTAAAACCAAGCCTCACAAATTAAACGTCAAAAAGAACATCAATATAGTCGTTTGATACATAGCTACCACAACAGTCCAGTTCCTAATGCTGTACGAAAGTTGATATAGATTTTTAAAAAAGATCAAAAGAGGAAGAAAAACGAATGTCGACATGACGAAAATCTGGTATCTCACCTAATGATATTACCGTCGCAAGCAACAGTTGGTGTGATTCAGCAAACGGTGCCGGTTGGTTCCCTGTCCTGTGTACAGTGTGTGTTCAATCTTTAAATCCCTATTTATACCGTTATCTGCACACCATCCATTTCAATCTCACGTCACTGTCTTCACAACCTCGTGACACAACATACGTCACAAAACACTTCCTTCCGTCAGGCAACTCAAAGTTTCACGCAATGGCGTCATCTTAAGAGTAAAGTACACCCTTACCGATCAGACTTAAGAATTAAGGTGGGAATCACACACCTCAGCTGTGGAAAAGTCCCTTAAGGAATGGATAGATAAAAGAAGCGCAAACGTCTTGTGACATCTTGAAGGCGAGCAAAATTGAAACCACAGAAGCGAAGACGCCCAACTCCTACGTACGGAATAGACAGGGGACATCAGAAAGGTCATACAGAATAAACACAAAATTGCTCACTGCGTCCAATTTGGACGAATTCGCTCCCTTCTCCGTTGAGTAATAAGAGAGAAAAGTTTCAGAATCCCCCGATATCTGTCTTACTCTTGTTCTACCGTTTTAATAAGGCATTGTAGCTGAACTTCTTACAGTGTAGGTCAAACAATCAAGTACGTTTTCATTATCCTGTCCAAAACATCGTCAATTTGACTACAAGGAATGAGATAGAGTTCTCAAAATGGTCACTGAGCAAATTTTTCTTCCCCTTGTGTATTACACATGTTTTGTATACAGACTGTTAGCATCAGGGACTGGTTAAAGCAACCATGCTGTTCCGATGCGCTCTCTTGTAAAAGACTTTAAAAACAAGATGGCACAATGAGTTGTCTATTTCATTGTTCAAAGTGTAAAGAAATAACGGTCATAACGAACGGATTTTTGATTTTCAAAGATTGAAGTCGAAGAAACTGTCGTTGTCAATAGGAACGACCCCTCGTGTAGACTCATCTATGTCTTGAATGATTTCTTAACTTACGACCGTTTCAAAACACATGGGTAAAACTGTACGGAGGAGGATATTAATATCCGTATTAATAAAAATCAATATGTCCCAAAGCTGCCCAATAACATCCATTAGCTACGATTTACCACCACTTACACGTGTGTTCCTCCAGCTATCTCAGGGATTTCATCTACTATTGATCTTATTCCAACGCACGACAGTCACAGTCCGAGAGCAGGTAGGAAAGAAACAGTCAGAACGTGAGCAGACACCAGATATGGTTGTAAAGACACGGCAATATTAACCCGTGCTTTATAGCTGGTCTGCCGGCACTGCTTAGTAAGAGAGTGGCTTCAGAAGTGCACTTACAAATCTTGACTGTCTGAACTTGAGTTTTATTCAAAAGGTTAGTGTTCCGACCGCTACATAAAGGCTAGATTTGAATGATAAAAGCGTACGCTGTTGATATTATGCAATCAGATATCGGACCAAAATAGCAGAACGTTCAAAAGACGACGATGGTCTTGATTAGAAGATGTAAAAACTGGCAACAGGCCAATTATAAAACTAGTGCATGAGTCTGAAAGGACTCAAAAGGAAAATTTCTCTTTATGTTTCCCTGGCCATGTTTTTTGTAAATGTTACTTCATTAATATTGTCTTTATTTTGTACAATGCCCGACGATTATATGTCGTTAACATTTCTGCAATAGAATTCTATACCACCTATATCATCTATGGCATTCTAAGGTTCCGTATTCTGTTAACCTGTCATCGGCTACATTGGAAACCAGAGCTATTTGGCAGGAAAAACTACCCATGTGTACCCAAGACTGATAACTTGATAAACAGCCATGCCAAAAGGTGTGAAAAACAACAAAAGTAAGATGAAATATCTGGCAGATAAACGGATTGGCTTGAGAAAACATATTCTGCTGACAAGTCAATAGACTCCGGCATTACCCTCCTAGTTTACTACTATTCAATCACTAGCAATAAATTGTTGTTACTTGCAATGTATACGTAAATCCGCATCCTTTTTGAGGGAGAAAATTAGTGAATGCTTGTTGCTGTGGTTGACGTTTAATGGCAGTGCGTCGTGCGCCCCGCGACAGGTAACAATCAATATTCCCGTCACGCCTCCGTTAATTTCAACTTGAAATTGCTTAAATGAAGCTCCCCAGCGGGAGTAGTGCATTTACCGCCTCAGCGTCTCAGTTAAGTAATCATTAAGGTGACAAGACGTGATTCCAAGACGGAGTTTGTCGGCTCTGGTTTTCCCGGGTGACACAGACACAGTAATAAGGTGTAAAGTGACATTTCCAACTCGCCATGACTCACGGAGATGTAATTAACGATTGTAGTGGGTAATCATGAGGTGGTTTCAGAACGTGGGAGTTGCTTTGATAATATACATGTACATGTAAATCTTGATAGAAAGTCAAAACATCCATAACAAAAGTACGCGCTGTGTTTGAAGAGTAGCGATAGACCCACGAGACAAACTTTTTCTTACTCTACAACCTTTCCAAGATTTTAAAGAACCTTCACAAAAAGAACACTATAGATTAGTAATCAGAGCTGTGTGGGTAGTTTTGGTGCTCCCGACGCCATGAAATCAGCCAGCACATTGTCAACATATTTGGTGAGGAAAAAAGGATCTCTGTCTTGAAGCATTGCAGGGACAGCCCTGTAGTTGACCCACATGTCTCTGGAGGCAGCTCAATTGTCCATGACTGCTCACATGGGGCATCCCTTACCTACTGATGTTAAAGGGTGCAGCCTGCAGGAAAATGATGACAATGATGTGGTGGACATTGATAGAAGGCCTATAGTTTATAGTTATTCCCCAAAACGGGAGCTTTCTTCCAAACAAAGCCTACAGCTTTCCCTCTGAAGTATCTTGACAAAGGACTTGGTTACTATACAAATATATATCATATTCAGTTCTGCGTTGTTGTAGACTGAAAGTTGATGAACCAACAAAGCACCAATAAACGCCCTATTATTTCATAATGTTGGTAAATGATTGAATAGCAAAATCTTATTCACAACGTAACCACTTCTTAAACAAGAGCCGACGTTTTGATGACCGTCTGTCATCTTCGTCAGGGCTACTATGACTGGTTCACTGTGCACTGAAGATAGGTGTAGTAACACCTTCACGTATAGTAATAATGACATTGCAAGATATGTCAGTAACAGTTATAAATGACCTGATGAAGATGACAGACGGTCATCGAAACGTTCGCTCTTGTTTAAGAAGTGGATGTGAACAAAGAACTTTGCTGTTCTTACCTACAGTCCCTGACATACTCAACAATTATTTTCCCCTGCCGACTTCCATCATTAGGTGAATCAGCATGTCGAACCCGCTGTAAGGCAATCTTGTCATCTCCGTGCTACCCTCAGGAGTTCGTACTCCTGGCGTCATGTAACCATCACCAATTAGGGTGACTTTCCTCCAGCGATTATCTGATGCACGCTAATCCACCGCCGGAAGTTCTAAGAAGCAGATTATCTATCGACCTGATTATCTACCGATACCTGTCGACACTAGTCTTCAAGCAGAGGTTTGGGTTTTGGCTTATTTTTGGCGTGTTTTAAGGCTTTTTTGTCGGGGTTTCTTTTTTGCACTGGAATGTTTTAACGCCGACCCAACGTAACAAAATTCCAGTGCAAAAAAGAAATCCCGACAAAAAATCCTAAAAACGCGCCGAAAATAAGCCAAACCCCAAACCTCCAAAGTATGTCCACACTCCCTTGCAGCGAAAGACGTGAAGGTGTGATATGAAAAATGGCCACGAGTGAAATATACCGTAGATGTACATGTTTTACTTATAGCAGGGAGCAAAGTAACGTACTGAGCCGCTAGAGAAACCATTTTATGACCCCCTCTGGTGTGATGTTTTCACGAGAACATTCGGTAATGCCTAGGAACGAAATTTTAAGATCGGGTCTGAGCCAAATGAGGACATTTACTCACAGCAACCCATGGCAATGGTAGAATCACACACACTTGTAGAATGTGGTGGTCTCAAAGTTAAGAGTTAAACACTAGACAAAATCATACCCGGAATCAATTAGGGTCATCGTAGACAATTAATGGAAGCATTGACGATACCCAGTTGATATTATGACAAATCATGTGCCTTAAAGATGAAGAAAAAATATCCTACCGCTCTACGTCAAATATGAACGATACCACCATCATCAAAACAGCTCTGATCTGGCAATCTACACAAAAGTACCAGATTGTGTCCAGCAATAAAAGTGAATTTTGGACATGCGAGCATTAAATCTACACGAATATGAAAAACAATCTGTTGTATCTATCATACATCGATCGCTGTTAATTCCCCCGATCAGACCATATTGCATGACGCTACTATTGTGGGATTGCCGGTTGAAGATAGCATATACTAGGTCCAGCTTCCCAACAACCACCAAGCCCGATGAAATCTCGCTAGCGAAAATGAAATGGCCGAGAACTAAGCCACTAATGCCCACCATACAGCGCAGAACGGAGAACTCACCCTCACTGTGCCCGGTGGATTCCCACTTAAAACGGCTTCTCCAGCAGTCGGACTGTCGACACCATTGACAAACGCCAGCTGGTCTGCCCAATCTCGCTCGCCAATTCCAACAGCGAGAGTCACTCGCCAAGTCCCATCTGACTCTCTACATGCGCGGGCACGTGAACCCACTTTGGCGCTGGGTTCTGACTGGATGCACTCAAAGTCACAAGATTGATAGCAACTGCTATGGGGGCCCTTCGACATTCGCTAAGAAATTCAGGCCAATAAAACATACAAACATCTACGGAGCTATTAAACGCTTTATCAGTGCTAAAATTAAAAAGGTATCGTACAATGATGCAATACGGATGATATATATCTATAATAATTCCCAATGAGACATATACTATATAAATTATACCTGCAATCGTTACAAAGTATCACGTGTTAGCAAAATCGTCCATACGCTTGGTGGGCAATGGATGGTTATGGAAGAATATGCCTCGGAGGGAGTTTTGTGGTTTTATGTTGTGTAAAGCACTATCTCCACGGAATAAAGAAAAATGCACTTCGTGGAAATATGAAGTCGAATAGATGGAACGTAAGCTCTGGTGGTTTCGCTTGGGTTCCAGTGAGGCCAACTCTACAAGTAACGATTGGAGACGTCAGAACACCTGTGGAGCGAGTACAACTCGGCCCAACCACAGACATGCACACAACAGCTATATTTAGTACACAAAACGGCAACGTTTATCGTCCAGTCATTACTACATGCTGGTACTGGAGGAAGGGCAAGAAGAATCGATGGAAAAGAGAACTTGAAGCAGCAATCTTATAAAGAAGATCATTCTAGACTAGTACATACGATTTAAACGTAGACCTGTGGAGTACGTATGTTATACATAGTCTTGTCTAATCTGCTGCTTTGGTTCTTTTCATATCTTGGCAGGACGATACATTTCTATTTTTACAAACTATATTCTCTCTCTCTCTTGTCTATCCTTGCCAAGAACATGTCATCTCAACTTAAGAATGATAAAGTTTGGAGCTGCAAAGTTTTTTCTGTGTCTTTCTGAAGACTGCTATTAGATGGACACTTTGGACGTCGGGTCTGCAGCCACAGGCATGTTGGGAATACGTCATTAGAAGACGTCAGAAGTGCATCAGCACATGTGTCAGCCGGCGTCACGACCACACCGATGTTGACATTAGCTGATGGCAGTTACCTTGATGTGTCGGACCTGGCTTACTGCTGTCCGCAGATCGCAAGGATAAAACACTTCATATAAAACCCCCATAAGCCTTAAGGCTTGAGATCGTCTCAGGCCGTGGTCTGAAGAAAATGTTGAGAGCACTTCTCTGGGACTATCTTACGTTCAGAGATAACACCCAGAAGGTCGTTGATTGCCAACGCCATTCACTGCAACGTAACTGGAAGCATTCAACAAGTCGTAAGATCTGAACAAGTGGAAGGGATTGAAAAAGAACAGAATCGAAAAGTACAAAAATTTCAGAATACCCACATTTGCACTAAGAAAATAACAACAATCAAACAAACTGAAATAGATAAAAATTACTATGCAAAAACCCTGAAGGGAAAACAATCTGCATCAGCACACCTGTCTGGTTCTTTCTGGCCCTCCCTTGATCTGTTGTAAAAAGTAGATAACTCCCCTATTTTGAGCTATCCATAAAGTTCTTAGTGGCCATATGTGTAGGTATGATACTGATCTGCGATGGAACATTTACACTGAGCAGTAAGCCGGCAACTGACGTCTTTAAGTGTCTGCCAGAAGGTGCGAATAAGAACCTGGACACCGTGAACATGGGAATGGGTACATATTGCAAATGTAAGATCCTAGCCCAACAGCAAGACGTGACGACAGTTTATCAACCTCTGCATCGCTCCATCAACATTTATTTTCCTGGTACGGAGCAACGGTGTTCAGTCACCTCTAGGCCATGTGGGACCACGGGTCGGATCAACCAGACTTTGTGTCCAAGCACTAGTATGATGCCTGATGAAAAAGAATCAGGCAAAACTGTACACCATAACATATTATATATTCATTAGAGAGAAGAGAAAACTAGAGATGGAAGAAGATATAGTAAAATGGACTCTTTCTTGAGGAGATGCGGGGAAGATTCTGGCGGATGCTATAAACATCATACAAACGCTGTCAAAGGCTTACATTTTTTGGAGGAAATGGTCGAGTTAATGGTACTAAAGGAAAAGGGCTTTGATTTACAGATTCGTGGGTGTTTTTTTCCAAGAAATCATCAGTTTTATGGGAGATACTAACGTGCTTTCCGTAAACTATTTTCTTCTTTCAGATGAAGCAGAGTAAGAGGCTTACGGCTGATTTACACAAGATATGCAAAATGTAGCATAACATAGACCTGGGCAGATATATGTGCACGGCGTCTCTTTGTCTGGCTATTGGCCACTTTGCAATTCTACGAAGACTCGTAAGTTTGTCGTCAGAAATTACAGAGGAATTCGTAACAACGTGAGTGCGACAATGGTCCCTAAAGCTGAGAATGTGATTGAGACGTTGGCATTTCAAAGATTATATATTGGACCCCTTACAACTAGACAGTGACTCGGAATACCCTTATTTGACATAATGTAGTAGCTCGTAACAACATGGATGGGCGATGGTCGAAAAAACAGCCAGTTAGAAAGTGTCGGGACGTTTGCATGTTATTTGTAAGGCTATATATAACATGGAATGAATGTACAGTTGCAAGGCATTATCCCAAGTAAGAAGACCACTACAAGGAACCTAATACCATCATCCTTTAATAGTACACTTTACATTACATTACTCCTACGAAAGGGAGCGTTAGTGTTTGCTTTCTGTGGGTCATAAACACCAACGCAAGACTTTGTCGTACGAAGAGTTATTTGAAAGAGTTCTTATTCAACCCAGCTGAAGGTACCTACTCTTGGTGGAACGAAAATAGAGTCTTACAGAATGTGTCCTTGTGACCGGGTAATATGACAATATTGTCACAAACTATACAAAACCCATTTCAGGGAGGCTGCAACTGCGATGGGTAATTTTGTAGACCCATCAAGGAGCCGTTTTGGACACGGTATGAAGTTTATTGGTTTCTGTTTGTGGCAATATTTTTATGATCTGTCACTATTTGTGAAAAATTTACACAAAGCAAATTTCAAACTTCATAGCCAATGGAGCAAAAATGGGACGTGATGCAATGGTAACTAATTTGGCGCATGCACGACTTTCTAATTCTGGAGTAACGTTTTCGACCATATCATTATTTTTTTTCGCGAGAATCAACTTACAAACATATTGCAATTGGGTAAGGGAAAAGGATTTGATTTAGAATTCAAGGGCACGAGTTTAATCAACCCAAGCCTCACAGGAAATGGTAAAATGTGTAATTCAGACGTGCATTCAATCGTCTCTGTTTGTCTTTCTTCACAACTCGTTAGTCCGTCTGAAGGATACGATTACATGATGCGGTAAGGGTCCACAAGGGTTTCACTGTCATCAATCAGAATACACAAAATAATTTCCGTAAACATACATCACAATAGATAGATATCATGAAAGACTGCAAGAAACGAACTCACAGTTATGAAGAGTCACGACAACGACAGGCACAAAAGGTCACATGACAATGGCGTATTTCAACGGCCGCCATGTTGGTGGGTTAAATTACGAGGTCAGAAATATTCCACACAATTGATTAATTTCTATCACAGAATGCACTAAAATACTCATTATCTATATCATCACATTCTAGTATCTTTCAAGCATTGTGACAGCCAATCTCAAGGAGATCAGTGACCTCCGACGGAGTATTGTGATCAGCCGTGTCCGTTCGTTCCCAGCTTAAACTCATGATCCATTCGCTGCATTCGTTTGTAATTTAGAATGCTGTCTGCTACTGATTGTCAGATATCATTGACGGTAAAAGATGGCAGCTATTCTCCTCCTCTCCCTTCCATTGGCTACTTTCCTCTCCTGGTTTACACAGTATATGTAGAAAACCCCTTGCAAAGGAAGTTCAAAGTCAACGTTCCTGATCATGAGTAACTTCTGATGACGAATGTGAAGGTGAAGGAAAGTTTTTTTGAGGATATAAAAAATAACTACCCTTTTAGAGCACTACTTTTAGTAGCATAGAACGTCGAAATGACACAAGGAGGCTTTAAGGAGAACCAGCGTTATCCGCTAGTTTGGTTCGTAGAAAGCAAAGAAGCCATCAGTAGATGCAATAAAGCTTTCTATTTACCGTTTTACATGCCGTTCTCATGTTGAAATGCGCTGTGTAGAATAGAATGATGAACTATAGGATTGGTGATAGGAGATTACAGAGATTTGAATGTGCATAAATCTAAGAGATAAGAGGCCAATGCTATTACTCGTTTGTTTGATACATCAGCAGTATTTTTCGTTTTGTAAAAAAACGCCTGTACGACTTCTATGAGAATGACGTACGACACATTAGAGGTAAATGCAGTTTTAGGTAAATGTGTTATAAAACTCTCAACCAATCAGATGGTATCAAAGTAGAGAAGTACGTTGCCCTGTCCGAGTAGTTTTGCAAAGGCTTTCTCTACGAGTCAATGCACAGTACGGATGTCCACCATTTACCCAAAAGCGGAGTAGTAAATGTCAACTACATTCAGCATGATACATACCAGCAGAGTCGTCTCCTATCGTACAAAAAACCAGTGTCCTAGAAAGAGCAAGCAGCATTCTGATCAAATGTGACAGATATCGATCAGAGCTACGAAAATACAGTTAGGCCATTGACTGCAAATTCAGTCTCCGGTGGCAATTCAATTACACGAAGATGCAAATGCAACAAATGGCATTAGTCATAGTTACACTGGAGAGAGGTACGTTCGCCGTACTCTATGAAGGATGCATGAAATTAAGTTATATATGATAACAAGTATTATTAATGGCTCTCATAGGGTGTACATGAAGCTGGTGTGGGAACTAGAAATATGTAACTATTATTATGATTGTCGCTAATACTAATGCGTGTTCAATTATTCTTAAAATTTGCTACTTATTGGATATAGTTGTGGCAACACATTACATTATGTTGAGCCGTGTATATACGGTAAGA